AGCGACAGGGGTTCTGAAATCATTTCATCCACATTTCACCCATAATCCAGCCTACAATTTCTGCTGGAGCTAGTGTATGTCTCCTAAATGGCCACACAGTCTTGCTCCTCTCCTGCCCTTTACGCAAAAGTTCTCCCTTTCCAGCATCTTCGCTGAACAACTTGTGCAGCGGACACTGAGACACAGCCGTAGGACAGACAATAACACACTTCACAGCAGCAATAAAACAACGGGAGCCATAATTTCTTTGAACTCTGGGTCAAACTTGTTGTTAGCCAAGTCTGTAAGAACTCGTATAGTAAATTACATACGTCTCTTGACCAGCAGGATCATAAAATAAAACTTTACAATCCTTCCAAAGGTCACGGCTCTGCAACAAACAGTAAGATGAAACAATAAATTCACACCCGAGACCACCATTTTTGTGGCTTCGACAGCTTTGGTTAGATCTGAGGAAATTAGAACTTTGACAATCTTTAGGCAAAGTCTTTCTTATTTCTCCCTTGGACCCATCTCCCAAATCTCCCTAAGCATAAGGCAGAGGCTAAACCAACAGTAATAATGACTGTTACTGGTTTCAGCAGCAGCAAAGCCACATTTATCTCTATACACACATTTAATGGAAACAATGACCAAAGTGTTTCTTGGCAAATTAGTCCCCTTCTCCCCTCGAAGAAAAACACACCTATAAGCTATTTCCAAAACAATCAATATTAGTCCAGCAAGCAAAACTGTACGTTACGTTTCCCACCAAAGTCCTGGCATTCCCTCAAACAAGTGGTGCTTTATAAACTACAACTACTACCAAATAAACTGGAGAGAGGACTCCTGAGCTGGGCACATTGCTGCTTTTCCCTCAGGTCTGGGGGCCTGAATGCAGGAAATTCCGCTAAAATCCCTGCTCTGTTCTGCTGGCTTTTAAACATTTGGCCCAGCGATGTATCTTTCCATCTATGCTTGTACGGAAGCTGGTCCAAGATCTAGACACTGCCATGGTATCATGACATCAATCATGAGGGGGAGAAGGGCAATCTCTGCTACCAGCTTCAGAGCACACATTTGCCCTCCCGTGGTTTTAAAACCGAAAAGACAAAGACACTGTGTTAGTTCCACGGGCATTATTTTTTTAATTAAAAATAGAGTATTTCAGGATACTTTGATCCTGCACATAAAAAATCTTAAGTGAAGGGATTATCTGATATTTTTGAAGTGAAAACAAAGGTTTTCCTCTAAACACTCTTCTGAGAGGCTGGCATTTGGTTATGCAAAGTTTATGGTATTGCTCTTTTATTCCCAGCGGTGTTGCTCTCCCATCACTCTGTCCTAACGTTGCAAAGCCACGGACACAGTAATCGATGGCCCTGATTCTTCCCTCTGAAGCTCAAAGCGAGGACAAACACGAAAAAAGGCAGTGCTAAAGTGCTGAGGAACTGAAACTTCAAGAAATACTTACCAAAGGGATGCCAGCAGAGACCGTGCTGGTCACCTGGGCTTGAGAGCTGACCGCTTACGGCACTGACAACACCCCAAGGCGAGCCACTGCGCCGCGATTTCAGGCTGAGGTGACTCCTGTGTGCACAGAACAACAGCTTTTCCTTTCAAGAGGTGCCAGAGGTTTCCTCGGCTTCAGCCATTGCCAGAGCGCAGACTCTAAGCAAAGATGTAGCAATGAAAACTGCTTAAATCTAAGAAATCCTCGGTGCTTTTCCCTGCCTGTCCAAGAGGAATGACCTTGCCTGTCCTCCAGATTAACTTCCGTTTCATGCTGGGAGAGGAGATCTGAAGGAAATACATGACATTCCACATGGAAATCCCAGGGAAAACATGTCGCATTCCTTGGCAATACCAGCCAATGTTATATATACATAGCACGGGGTGAACAATGCCAGCCTGGAGGAAAAGAGCAGCTCCCACCCTTGCTGGGTACCCATAAATCTTCTTCTCACAAGAACGTCAATCTCGGTATTAACCCTAAGCAGTACCATCATGCACATGGGCCTCAGCCTCTACCTTCTTCTCTCTCCCACCACTACCAAAACCAACGCACGTTGAAGGCTGTTTCCAAGACCAGACAACTCTTTCTTCCCCCTGCTGAGCCTGAACGTTCATCTGGTTAGTTCTGTTGGGAACAGTCCTGCTCTCCCTCCTGCTTATTCTGCCAGATTATTGGGGGTAGTTTTTTGGATGAGCTTTTGGATCCAAGGGCAATGCCTCCTTAGCTCAACCCTGCCCACTGGATCTCCAACTCACCAAGTACCTTTGAATGAAATAGAAGTACTTGTAGAAGACTGGGGAGACCGCTCCTCTTGGACACACAGTCAGAAACACACAAAGAACCACTCATGGTGCCTCCTTGCTACATCTTCCTTAAAAACCTGCCTTTCTGCAATGGCTGCAATCAGAAAACCAAACAAAAAAACCCACAACCAACACCAAAACAAACAAAGAAACCACCTCTAAAGCCCAAAACTTTTGATATTCATAGAATCATAGAATCAGAGAACAGTTTGGGTTGGAAAGGACCTCAAAGATCATCTAGTTCTAAGCCCCTGCCATGGGCAGGGACACCCTCCACCACATCAGGTTGCCCAAAGCCTCCTCCAACCTGGCCTTGAACACTTCCAGAAAAATTTCTTCCTTATATCCAATCTAAATCTCCCCTCTTTCAGTTTAAATCCATTGCCCCTTGTCCTATCACTACATGCCCTTGTCAAAAGCCCCTCTCCAGCTTTCCTGTAGGCCCCCTTTAAGTACTAGAAGGCTGCAATAAGATCACCCCGGAGCTTTCTCTTCTCCAAGCTGAACAGCCCCAACTCTCAGCCTGACAGAAGGAAAAGGTTGAACCTTTGGTTTGTACATAGATAGATATATTCCTTCGTACATCTATCTATGTACAAACCAAAGGTTCAACCTTTCCCTTCTGTCCTGCAACAACCTCTTACCAAGGCAAAGAATGAAGGGTGGATCATACGAGTCATTGGTTCTTGCAAGCTGTCACCTCAAATAAGGCCCTGACAGCCACTCTGCAAGCGTTTGAAACAGTCCCGCTATCCTTCCCGGGAACTTGTGACTCATGCCATGTCATCCTATGACTTTTTGGCACCTTCCATTGTCGTCTTCTCTACACCTTGTTTTCCACCTGTCGCTGTTAAGCCCCACCCTGCCCATCTGGCATCTCACAGTGTGATCAAGAACTTCTCAGTGACAACAGGCTGCTGATGCCAAAACCAACACAGCCAGCCCAGAACTGCTGCAGGGATGAGAGCAGAGTGGACGTGAGATGGTTTTGCCATCCACCCACTCTATTTTCAGCAGATGGGCTTCCAGTTCAAGCACTCTCATTAACAGCAACTGAGATGGAATCAATGACCGAGGATCTCAATAAGGAGACCTGCTGATGGCAAGTTATTTAGGTATGGATGGGGCTGTTTGGTAGCTGCACTCTTTCCACATCTTTCTGCTGAAAGAAGTAACTCCAGAACACAAAGAGCAGCAATAACATTTAAGACAATGCATTAAAAGGAGGGATGGTCTAAATGCAAGAAGATACTCAGGTGTTTGATACCGGAACTGCTCAGTGGTTTCAAAAGGAAGGCAGCTGCTTGAACCACTTCGTGGAACCAGATTTACCAACTCAGGCTGTACTGGGAAACGCAAACCAGCAAATGCACAGTTAACACCTGCCTAATCAAGCGGATCAAGGAGGTACGAAAAAAATCTTGCTATGCAGGAGATGTCTCAGTGCCTGCAACAAACACCCTGAAACAATGACCTTGTGGTGATGTTGTTTGCATGATCATAACACGCAAAAGTCCCAGCCGTGGACCAAACCCAAACGCAGCAGGTGCCATGTGACATAACCATGTATTTTTGGGTACTGCAGGTGCAGCATTACACAGCCCTACCAGAGAGAACTGTGTCTGCAATATTCCCAGCGCAATGCTACTTGATTACTACTTTTCAATCTCTTTCATCTACTCGGAAAAGAAGTCTTCAGGGCTGTTCTGAAGCCACTTCACGTTGTACATGGCAGTTTACGTGGGGTTCATTAGCAATATCTTGCTTTTTCTCTGTATATATTGTTTACACTGCAGCCGTCTCGGGCTCCAGAGTAGTAAGCACTATGCTAATGACCATTTGCTGGATTGTGATATTTGGAAGAGAAGAAGGATGCTGGAAACCAACAGTTCGAGTCCTAAATAAACCCCTAGTTTCCAATTGCCTTGGGCAAGTCACTTGATCTTCCCATAATCCAGTCTTCAAAACAGAAATGAATTCTTTCTTTACCTAGCAGGGAAGCTGAGAGTACAAACCCATTAAAGACTGCACGGAGTACAGATCCTCTAGTGATAAGAAATTACTTAATACATATGCAATGCTTGGGAGCACACGTTGCTTGTTTCAAAATATAGACAAAACTGCTTGGTCCGATGAGTACATGAGATATTTTCTCAGTGACAACAACAAACGAGCAAAGCAACAACAAAAAAACACCAATAAACTGCAAGTTGGCTCCGGAGAGATGAACAAACTCTCATCTAACTGAACATTTCTTTCTGCTATGAACATGTGGTCTCTTGGAGACAGAAAACAGATATCTCCTGCAGAAGTTGTGCAACTAATTTGAGTACACCAAAAAGGAAACATCTACTCAAGACACTGAAGGAAACGCCGTGATGCTGAGGGCTATGGTTTTATAACAGAAGAAGAAACCATATAGAGTTACAAAACAACCCAGTGCCCATCTTTATTGATGATTCACAAAATCAAACATCATTCACTTCACTTACTCCAGCAGTTCAAACACGACATTTTTCCTTGCTAGGTCTGGCTGATTTTTCCAAGGTAAACAATATTTGCTTTTAACCCGGGGTGGGGAGAATCATGCTCTACAGTAGCCCCTTTCGTAAGGGCAAGTGCATCACAGCCAGAACAATACTTCACAATTTTATAACAATCTTCAAAGCACTGTGCAGGCATTTAATTAAAGCCTAGTAAAGCCTCACAGCAGTCCTGGCTCCCGGTCCGTTTTAGGTCACACCTCCTTATTAATATTTCACACAAAATCCCCACTACCTCCCAACACCACTTATTCAGTACTTCCAGGGCTTGTACTAGTCTCACGAGAATCTTAACCCTTTAGTTAAGTGGGATTTATTAATACTCCTGAAGCCCACTGAAGACATGAACTGCTATCAAATTAACTGCCCGTGTGCTTCCGTAATCTCACCAGAACATATATTATTTTCAATAAGCCGGTATTAAATTTACAGAGAGTTTCACTGATACAAAAAATATCTTTATTTCCTACTAAAACACACTTAGCCATATCCTAGTATGTTATATACATATAGTCACACCAGCAGTGAGTCAACAGCTGAGCTACAGGAGACAGGAGTGAGAAAACCTGGGGAAAGGAATAACATCTTTGATATTGTCAACTCCCAGGATGTACTGCAGGTAGCGTTCAAACCCCATTCCGAAGCCTCCATGAGGAACCGAACCGAATTTTCGGAGGTCTAGATACCTGTAATTTAAACAGACAGTTACATTTGCAGCACGGTTATGCTGATGTAATTAGAGCGAGCTTTTTATCTAGGGTTTTGCTTTCCATCTTAATTACTTCCCTTTGACCCTAACCACTGTGGGTTTCTGCCAAGGCAGCCGGGGTTGGTCAGGGGTGTGAAGAGGTGCAGCTCCCTGACAGGCAGAATTGTATTAGGAGAAACCCCAAGTGTAAACACATTTAAACCAGCAGAGCTGTGCTCTGCCGATACGCCAGAGCCTGTTTTCAGGAGCAAGAACTCGTTTGGGTACGAAGAACAGCTTGAACATCGTTGTTCTGCTCATATTGAGAGCATCTTTGTAACTTTTAGGATCTAAAATATTCCTAGCAGAGGCACAAACCCAGGTTCCTACAGAGGCACAAAACATTTCTACTCTTGGAGATGGAGTTGCCTGCTTGGGTTTGTTTAGCCCTCGTCATGCTGGTGCCAAAAACTGCCCTACAATAAATTCTTTCATTTTCTGTCTACCTTTCAATAGCCTACATCATTTCATTTCCAGTAATTTCTTCGGAAGCCTAAATAGGTATTGCTGTCTGCTGAATATTCTTTCAGATTTTTTTTTTCTTTTAAGGTAATTACGATTTTTTTTGTTACTTTTTCCCCAATCACTCTTACAGACTGATTCATTTATTTCCACAGTAAATCAGCAAAAAAATCTTGGACATATTTTCTCCAAAAATGAGATCTGGAAGAAGACATTTCCTTTTGGAGAACAGCACCTGTTGTGCACAGAAAACTCACAAAACATTTGCAAGCAGATATTCCAAACATATGGGTGTCAACAAGATTATGGTGGTTCTTCTTTAGAGTTCCCCATTTCCCAGCTGGACTGTAGCTGAAGAGATACACAGGAACTCTATTTGCAGCTATAAATTGTCACCACCAGTTTTATTTTAATAGGAGTGAAAAACATCTCAGTGGTTCTATTGATTTATGGGGCCACTTCTGAGCTTGCTGAGGCCACAAAGTTATTCTTCTTTATATGAATGCACTAGTAAGGGATTGAGTGACTCCAGATGTATTACAGGCTTCTAATCTTTGTGTATGAATATTTTATCATACCAGTTAAAAAAAAAAACAAAGTACACTTAAATATGAATGCATATATGTGTTTTACTACTTAGGCAGTGGAGTAGAGGGGAAAAACACTGTGGAAAAAAAAATGAAGATTGGATCGATTGTAATAAATAGCTTCCCAGATTTTAACTACTGTTAATGAATCGCAAGAAAAAAGTACTTTTGTGTATGTATATACATTTTTATATATATTCATATGTAAAATACACATTATGTATTTAACTGTACTTGCTTAAAATATAGATATTTCAGTGTACTTGCTCGGACTTCAGAATTTTGTTGGCTTGAAGACTACATTTTAACAGAGTGAAGCCAAAGTAACACCACTGGTCAGCTCTACTCACAAACCAGGAATACTCTCCAACATATTCTACAGCTGCAACGGATCTCCCTGGCAGACTCAGTTTGCCAGTGTGCCTTTTATACCATGAAATATTATTTTTCCTTGCAGATCATTAACAGTAGTTAAAATTTGGGAAGCCATTTACTACACTCAATCCAATCTTCAGGTTTTTTTCCCCTCCACTGCCCAAGTAGTAAAACCAGACGCAGAACTTCACAGAATCATAGAATTCCTTACCTCTTCCTACTAGGACTGACACACAAAGCACAGTTATGCCTATACTTAGCAGCCTTTCAAGGGTTTGCAAGGAAGAAGATGGGCAGATCTGATGCTGAGAGTGATGACTCGTGAAATAGGACAGACCTTGGGAATGCAAGGGATTTGGGTGCTGGCCGTGGCAGATCATTCTGTACCAGCTCAGTAGTTGTGAGCAGAGCTGGCAAACCAGCTGGTGACAACTCTAGCTGCAACTAGTAATATAAATACCAGCTGAAACATTTCTGATGACATCTATAAGCAAATCTCAGCCTGTGCAAAAACAGCTGACACTAAGCCTAGAGTCTTTTCTCCCCTTTAGTTGGCAACAGAGTTTATAAAGTCATTGTAGGGAGATGAAATAACTCAGCTTCTTCCAGATGAACAATAATAATAAATTCTACCTTTGCTTAGCCAGGGCTTTCATCTGTAGATCTCAAAGCACTTTGAGAAGCCATTTTGGCAAAAAGAGCGAAACAAAACCCATTAAAGCTAATGGAAAAAGTCCATCGAATTAAACGTGCTGAGGATCAAGCCTGTGAATCCTTTCTGATGACTGTGCTTAGAAGAAGCAAAGGAATTGAGAAATTTTCCATTCTTCCCAGATGAAAGAAAAAGTAACTGCCTGCAGATGAAGAGAAAATTTCCTTTAGGCTGGAAAATGCTCCCTGAGGTTTTCCTTCATTCGGTAGTCTCCAGACATTGGATGTTTCTCACCTCAAAAACAGTCATGAACCAGTCTAGCTATTTCTCCTAGTAGCTCATACTTAAGAGGAGCGCTGAGCCCTCCATTGGCAACTGGGGGACTGTGCAACATTATTCCACGGGGGAAATAAATTTCTGTGACCCCAGCTAGCCCTGGAGTTCATGTTCTGGACCCGGAGGACTGGTAGTTCTTCAGAGATTTGAATCTTACTAAAGTATGTGCTGCAACAACGTCCCCCGGCAATGAATTCCAGGAGCTTGTTATGTGCCAAGTTAGAAGAGCATTTCCTTTCATCCTTTTCAAAACCTATACCCTTTTATCATCATCACGAGCTCCTGTGTTGCACAGCAAGGCACTACGAAGATCAGCGCTCTCTTAGTGACCATTCATAAGCAGAATGTATTCTTTTCAGTCTCCTTTCAAAACAAATATCATCTTCATCTTTTTTATGTAACCCCCTCGTTCTACGGAAGCCTCTGCAGCCAGTTTGAAAAAAGTAAGGCTGAAAGAACAAAGATATTGCAGTCCATGAAGGTGAAGATTCTACTGGGAAAAAAAAGGAAAAAAATGAGGGCAATGAAAAACTACTAGTGAAATGATGCTTGAAAGACCATTTTGTTGAATGTTTCAGGAATAAACATACAAAGCATCACCAGGTTCTAATGCGGGGTAAAAGAGCGTCTTTGGTTTCAGGCAGCTTCTGCTCTGCTACAACTTTTTGGGAATCCACAAAAAAAAACAAAAAAAGCATTCAGGGAGGTCAATCTAAACCACTCCCATTGACACAGGTGGGGTTTAGGTGTGTTTTGGCTGACTTTAGAACTGACTGGCCCAGCACAGCACTCTGGTTTCTCCTCAAAGCAGGAGTAATAGGACCAGGCACCTGCCAAGCAGAGCTATGAGTTACTTGTTTCCAGCGGGCTCTGCAGGAGGTTCAAGGATGATACGAATGCTGTCACTGGCCATGGATTGCAAGTGGCTCACCTGTGCTGCTGTTCCTTAAGTCCAACTCCTCCTTTCTACCTTGCCACACAAGGACCCAACAGAAAACTCCAACATTTAAACTTCAAAGTTAGAAATTAAAGAGCCCAACACAGCTCGATCTTCTCCATCCAGAGCAGGAGCAAAGCCAAGACAACACAGCAATATCTGTTCTAAGACAGAAGGGAACACCTGCGCTGCCACTGTGTACTTTCACCAGCATTACACCAGATCGGAAGGGTACCTGGACTGGAAAGGGTTCAGCATGAGGCCACCTTCTCCATCGACGAGTGTTACAATAATCAGAGTGAGCAAACAGGTGTCTTACACGTAGAAAGACCGTCTGAAATGCTGCTCAAGCCGATGGTGGTGGGGACATGCTGTTCTTTACAAAGTACCTGCTTTGCTATTGCTCGTGCTAAGCTGGCACCTGGAAGCTGCAAACAGGATGAGGATCCCTGTTTACGAGGTAAAATACTCAACGCTCCCCGCTCACAGAGAAAGCAAGTGACTTCCCAGAGAAAACTCTCGTCGCCCGACTTTCCCACCTCACTTCCACAGACCTCTCCAAGTCTAGCCAAGATCAGCACCTACGGCACTGAGCTCTTTTCTAGCTACAGTTCAAAGGAAGGAGTGTGAAAATAAGATAAAATAACTCTGCAAAATCAAGCCAAACACTTTTGCAACTCATAATCTTTATGGAAAGAAACCTTCACACAGCAAGAAAGATGTAGTGAACTGAAGAAGATTCAGAGGACTTTGACCACGTCCCCTTATCTGCTTTTTTTGAAAAGCTTTCTCAAAGGTAGGAATGGGCAAAACCACAATAGTATTTTGGATCATCAGTTGCCTTTTTGCTCAAGGATTCTCCCACAAACAAAGCACTCTTGAAGCTGCCCTAGTAGTCGTCAGCCTGCACAATATCCTCATGCTTAGTAGAAGAAAAGAGGTAGAAACAGAAATATGGCAATACATAAGGGATTTCAAAAGGGACCACATCTCATATAGCTGCCCATTCTGAAGTCAGCAAGTATTATATTTAAAAAGGAATGACTCAACTGTTCTTCAAGGTGTTTGTGAGCCAGCTTTGGAGACTAAATTCAATCACTAAATTGGAGGAGATTAATTCCAGTCTTTCCTGCCGCCTCCACTGAAAAGATGGATGCTGGCAAACCACCTATCTGTTTTCTGGCAGATTCTGGACTGTAGTCTAGAAGCATCCAGGATTACTTCTATCCTGCTCCTTGCTAAGACACCAGACCCTGCTATGGCCGAGGGTAACAACAGTTCTAATCTTCTCTGGGAAGTTACATCATCTGCGTTAGAGCAGAGGGAATAGAGGAGGAAAGAATTTCCAGAATGTGATTGCTACATATCACATGAAAATGCAAATAGCTGACGGGCAATGTCTTATTCTTCTCTCTTGAGGGGAGCATGAGGCAGGGCTGAGCTATCTTAGTGCTGGAAGGCTCTATCTGCCACTGAGCACCAGACTTCCTCAGGCTGTATCTCAGCACCTAACCACACAACTGACCATCCTTGGTCAGGATAACTTGATAAGTTATAAGGATAACAAGGTCAGGATAACATCCTTCCCTCGGATGAGGTGATATGGTGTATTCTGGCCCATAATCACAAACAATAAAGGAAGACATTTCATTCACCCTGTCTGCAAATGGATGATGTAAAGGTCTGCCATGCACTGGGCTGGTCCTACGTGATTTCATATTGCGGGAAGAGGAGAGCGAAGAATCCTACACTGCATTTACTCTGCTTTTTTTCAAGGCAGCCTCCCTAATGATCATTCCAAATACTGCAGAATATTTGAATATACTCTTCTAAATTTAAAATTCTCCACACTATCACCTCTCAGTAGCTGTGACAAAGCACATACCAAGAAACATTTGTCAAGAGGAACTCTAAGATCCTTCTGTCCTTTTAATAGGCTAAACCGTTAATTCAAAGGTTGCTCTGTCCCCTCAGCAGGACAGTTTTAATTGCTTCACCCACTTTGTTAGGGAAGATTTTTCGACCCAATTGCCCTATCAATTGCAAAGGGAGTTATTCACAGAGCTGTTAAAGGTCACAAATGGCTTGTGGTTCTGCAGCCTGTGCTACGCATCTCATGTGATGGCCATCAGAATCTGTGCAACATGGATATTAAATCATTAATATAAAAAATAACTGATGGGTTGTAAATTAATGTACTTCATGCAATCCTGAAAGGAACGACCTGTGCTGTGAGAGGATAAATTGGGAAAATAAACTAAGTAGCATTAGATTAAACCCTGTTTAAATGAACTGGCTGTTCCATTTAGACTGGCGGTGATGGCAGGGCAAACTGGGCCAAGAAACATCCCCGTCAAGAACAGGATCCAAAAAATGAAACAGTTGTTTAAGGAGTCTCAAAAGGAGAAATACAGCTTGCACATCAATACAGTGTCTTACCATTGGTAGATATCTGTGAGTCCTAATCTGTGGAACAAAAAGAAAATCCCTTGTAAGTAAAGGAACAGCGGAGATCCACACAAGCAGCACTTGCCTGGAAGAGTGTGTTGCAAGAAAAGGGAGGGTCTGATCACTAAATTCAGTCCAAAAAGGAAAGGCAGGAAATTAAGGGAAGACACGCTCAGTGCCTGTCAGTTCTGGTAATTGGCAGACAATCTTGAACAGATTCCCAACATGCTTCTTAAAATGTAAAGTTTGTTTTGTCAACAAACAGGGTTGATCCCAGCTTCAAGCAAAGACTTGTGCACATTCTTAACTTTAAGCATATCAGTAAACTACTTGTGAACGTCTGGAGAGTGCAGACCCGAATGCTAAATTCGCAAGGACATACAGCTAACGTCATCTATGAGCGAGTCAAAACCTCTTCACCTGTGGCTGTGTGGCTCCCCTTCCACAGTGCCTGAAACCCCTGAACTCCCACGGCTCTATTAATGTGTGCCACCTTCAGTAAAACACTCAATAAAATATGTTTTTTTCTAATTGCCACCAGTGCACCTCCTCCCCTTTTCCTGCCCTGGCAGAGTCAAAGCAAAATTCTTGTTTGTTTGTTTTTTTTCCCCCATTTCTCTGAACACAAAGAAAAAACTGTAGGCAAAGAAAGATCACTTCTCTCATCTTCAGCGCATTGCAGCTGTCCCTGACTATGACTTGGAAAGCTGTTGTATGAAGTGTGTATAAGGAGACAAGAATCCCATTCTTTATCTCTATTGGTTATGCTGGATCTGCAGGAAGCATAATTGAAAAGCCTTAACAAAACATTTGGGCTCAACAGATCAGATCCTGAATACTCAAAATTCAGAAAAAAACAGGTGAAAAGAGGTTTTATTTCTCCAGGTTGTCTTCAATGCAGAGCTGTACTTTAAGGTCGCTGAAGACACACCCCATTTGTAGCTTGAAATAATTCCTATGATTTTCCTGACAAACAAGAAAGTCTGGCTTCATTCTCCACAAGGACCACTCCTGCAGCCCCACACCTTGTGGGCTGTGGAGTCCAGATCTCACCAGCAAAAGTTTCAAGTGAAAAAGTGCAGCAGGCAACGTTGTATTTTGCTTCAGCTGAAGCAGGCCTGCTTTGGGAGAGCTCACAGGGAGAGTAATAGGAAGCACAGGGAATAATATTCTACACTACAAATTGAGACCCAATGTTCTAGTGATTTCAATATCTTTTTGGATTCATTATGCTGAAATGGATTTTGATCTTCTCCACTGACTAGATGTATCTCTGTGAGCATGCGGCTGATTTAAACAACAAATTCATTCCCCATGTGCAAATGATGTTACTCTGGGATTAATCCTCCTCCAAAATTGCTCTGCACAATGACTGGCCCAAATGGTCTCGTCTGAGTTATGAAAGGTTCTTTTGAACAATCAGACAGGATCCAGGGAGTAATTGTCTATGGAGAATCACCCCATCTATAATGTCCATTATTGTTAACTAAACAGCAGCTTTGATACTCTGATACTGGATTTAGCCTAAAATTACTCAAAGCCACATGATCCAGAACAAAGCAGCAGGGAAACGGCCACATGACTCAGTGCAGGTCCCAGGCACTTCCAATGAAGCCTCCTACCAAACTGTTGGCAAAGCCGTGTTCTCTTAAATGCTGCCACTGAGGCCAGCTGCATCACCAGAACTGCAGTTCCTCTACGTGACAACTTCCACCTCTGCAACCCACTCTCAGCCACAAAAGCTGCAAAGAAAAGGCTCAAGGACGAAGTGCCTCGCACAAGACCGTGGTCCAGACAGTCTCAGCAGAGCTGAGGCATTCTGCTGCCCTGGCCTCCTAGCACAAAATAAACTTTTCTTCTCTGATGAGCTAAACCAGAGTGGCAGCTTCCACACCCACAACAGAAGCAAAAGAACTTCTTCACCAGTTCTCAACAACCTACTTGGATAAATAGATACCTCAAACACAAAACCAGTTTTTTTTTGAATAGCATTAGTTGCCCTTCCACTTCTCTGTCTTGCCAAACACTGAGAGCTGCTGAAACACTCTCTGGGTCAGGCCAGTCTCCTGGCACCTGTGGGTGTTCCGTACCTCTGTAGGCGCGATTCGAGGAAGGGCAGTCGCTCCTCTCTCAAGCTGCCTCCACACAACTCCCCTATTCCTGGTACGAGGAGATCAACAGCTGCAACCTTCAAAGAAAGAAACCTAACATAAGCCATGCCAGGTAGCCGTATGGTCTACAGCAGAAGTACAGTTGAAGCTGGATGGCTGTTTGTAAAAACACTACTGTAATTCTTTTACTGAGTCCAGGACACTTAGGTAAGTATTTGTAAATGCTTGACTAGTCTCTTGCTGACAGGAGAAGGCTGGGAGGCAACTTGACAATGATAAAAATCCATAAACCTGCAGAAAACCCAAACAAGTGCAGTGATGTTCCAGACTGAGGACATCTACAACAGGTAGTGTGAACTGAATCCCACCAGGTTACTCTGGTGACAACCTGTGCCTGTAGGCAAGCCTTTGCAGGGTATACAGAAGCCAACCCCAGCTCACAAGGAGGCAAAGACACACGGGCAAGTTTCCTGAAGCCCTTATTCCCTTAGAGTTTAAGCTGCTCTGATGCTTGTAACTTATGTTTATCTCGTCTGCCCCTATTCCTTGAGCCAGCTCTAGTGGTAACGATACCACAGATCAATGGCACTGATGTGCTGATCCAAGTGTTAGGATCCCAGTGTTATCATCTATGCTGTCAGGTTTGGGCTGTTTTTCTTCTCTGTAGAGTTAATTCTCGTATCCCACAGTTGAACTGTTGGTAGAATTAAAGCCAGTAAAGGGACAGTGGCACACAGTGGGGCAGTTGTTCTTTTTAGTAGAAGCAATGTCTCAGGTTGTCTCAGTTCAATTGGGAAATCACACCTTCAAAGCGTGAGACTTGTGGCAGAAGAGCTTATGTCTTGTGCCTATCTGCTATTTGAGGATTACATGGATGCTGCATTTGGATGACAAGAGACTTGTGGACTGCTTGGAGCCATGCAATTCTAGGCGTTTCACCTAGTAGTAAAAAGGTTCACCAGGCAAAGAAATAACCTATGGCAAACCTGTCTTAAGAGACTTAAGCAAAAACTTAACACTACCCAACTCCTGAATCTTCCCCTTCCTGTTGTTCCTGCTTTGGGGATTTCTTCTACAACAGGAGAAAGACTGGACAGGATCACCAGATGGTTATGTCTTATCTTGAACTTCGTGAGTGGAGGCCCAGCAGAAGACAGTCCTCATCTACATGTAGACTAAAACCCATGCTTAGCCAAAAAGGAGATGGAAGTGTGATCCACGGACTCACCGTGTGTTGAGGTCCATCTTCATTGTCCCGCATGTAGAAAGGTTTGAGGTCGTATGGGTAGTTAATCACGAACACGGGAACCTCACCGCAGTGCTTCACCAGGTACTTTTCGTGTTCCGTTTGGAGGTCACAGCCCCACTGAAAGACAGCAAAAGGGACCTGGGATCCTGCTTTGGTGCATCTTGCCTGGGCAAGGGACACAGCAAAATCCCTCCGTAGGAGAGACATACAGTTTTGAGTAACAAGAAACCAAGCACAGCAACTTCTCACGCAGGCCACTGGGAAAATTTGCTAAGCAGACACAGCAGAGTTGCATGAGTTTTAAGGCTGAGCAAAGCAATGAAAATAATACGGTTTAACTTTCACAGAACAAGGCCAGATCATCCCTGCATCGAGCCCAAGCATCTGATATCAAATCAGAAAAAAAAAAAAACGAAAATCACACTCTGTACAGCTTAAGGGAAACAGGCACCTACCCAAAGTGAGCTTATTCAGCCCAGCAAATCAGCCTTACTTCAGTATTACCTTTGGTATACAGCAGCAGCTTTGCGAGGCTGACTGCTCTCTTCCCCGCTGTGTCCTGCTACATGCTACAGTAATTCTCACTTAAGAAAACCCAGCATCCTATCAACCAATTCTTTGTTATCAGAAATCTCGGGCATTTGCAACGCCCTTCACTTCTCCTTTCTTCCAGTGACGTTATAAATTCTGTGGCTTTTGACCAGAGATCTGCAGTCCATTATAGGATGTGCAAAGAATATTGGGGGAGTGGAAGGGGAAGAGGGGAACAGATATTCTGCAGACTCTCCTCATTTGAAAATGAGATTTTGAGTTTGCTGTCTCAGATCAAGACAGTGCAGATACAGGATCTGAGGTTCTGCACCCACTCGTACACAGAGACGAGGCAGTCACCCAACTGGCTATGAAGGTGGCTTCAGCCAGAGGGTTATATTCCTCAAAGGATCAGAACGAGATGGAAATTAATCAGTAGACGTATGAGATGAGCACCACCATAAATCCTCTCCCCACCAGTGTGTGTTTGAAATTCAGAAAAATATGATTTTTAGAAAACCATAATCCCACAGTGTTAGAAAGACTACCATGTGATTCTTTTTTCCAGTAAACATTTATGCTTTGGGAAGACCAGGGATTCTCTTTACCTACATCTAGATTACACTGTATTTGGACATGGTTTCGGCTTATTAGTCCTTGTCAAACTTTTGGTGCTATCCTAACAACATTCCTCTATTGGAGGACTATTGCAGCAACTCTCCTTAGATGATTGCTACTGAATCCCCAACACACTCAGCACTACTTGCAGAGAGGAAGGAGAAGGGTCTTTGCTAAAGCTTTGGCCCTTCAGCAGCAAACTCCTCACTTCCTTCCCTGCAAATGTTACACGTTCTTCTGCTACAGATCTCACTCCCTATATTGCTCCCATTTCAACTCCAAAGGGCAAAAGTTATACCTGGATTACAGCTGAGAAAACAGCCCGGGACGCAGATAACCTGTGTGAAGTAACAACTCCTGCGGTGTCAGAAAGAGAGAAAGGAGATCTACAAAGTTCAGGCTGGCTGTGCACATAAACAAGCACAGGGACAAGTCTCCAGGCAACCACAACTACCTACCTCTGGCTTGAAAGTGAAAGCCTGAGAAGCTTGCTTCAAAATTTCCACTGCTTCATTGTAGGAAATTCTGCAGCAGGAGGAAAAAAAAAAAAAAAAAAGTCTTTAAGATAACTATGAAAGGAATAACAAAGTTTTCTGGCTAAGTGCTGCACTGGAAAAGTTAAGAAGGCATTTCCCCACCACCATGCCAACTTGTGCTGTGACGTCAGGCTTCCCAGCAATGCTTCTCTGGACAGCAACCAAAAACCATTTTATATGGCAAGAGCCCTATGTTTTCCTGTGCTTCAGCTACGTGCAGGACAGGAAGCGTGAAGCTCAGAAGACACTTGTGCGTTATTGCAACGTTGCAGTTCAGTCAGAAGTGAGCTCTGCAGAGAATTGCTTCATAGAAATTTGTGGATTTTTTTTAAGAAAACAATGTGCCCTCACCAGCACAGCTCCAACAACACAGCTCCACTGTTTGGCATGGTGTTAGGCAAAAATAACAGCCCAGAGTGCAAAGGGTTTTTAACCCGAATATTTTCATTTTACTTTGTAAAAATCAGGAGATTTATTTGCAGCAACGTTTCTCTACTCCTCTGACAGATCTGAGAGCAGATTCTCCACTGATTTCCACCAGTGACTGGCACCAGTACAAAAGAACAGCATCATGGCTGAGCAAACAGAAAAAGTGCAGTGAAAAATGCTGCAGGTTTATTAACTGGAAATCAAGACTCAATGGAAGATACTTTTGCTGACAAGTTTTCCATCTATGAAGCAAATGTTGTGGGCAGAGAAAAGAAAGAATAACCCGATCACAATAATTTCATCTCTCTGCATCATTGGCTAAATCTAATTATACACCAAATTCCCTTAAAGAGCACGAGCTCTTTACACTCAGCTGCAAGGTTTCACTAACACAGGGAAGGCTTCTGGAGGGAATGCCTCAGGAAGGAATATATTGCTCCATGTGTTTGGGTTATGAGAGGCCATGGCCCACATGAGGTGTATCACTGGCACAGGTTCAACACATGTCACTGATGTGTGTACGCCAGGAATGCCCCAGATCTGCCAGCGGCCGAGAGACGGAGAGGGAGAGATGGACTGACTCACTCTCTTTTCCCTGAACCATGGCAGAAGCTGAGTGAAACTCTGTCCTCTCAGGAACATCAGTTAGGTCCAAAGAGAGAAGGACTGAAATGGGGAGGGAGTGACTTCACAGAGGTCTCCCATGGTGTTTGTGCAGGCACAAGGCACAGGGAGGATCTATCATGATCCTGTTGCCCAAGGGTGGCTGTAGCTGCTTAACAGGAAAACCAGCGCCGGGCTGAGCCACCCTGCAATGTTCTGTGGGATGGAGAGCACCACTGTTTGAAGAAACAGGTAAGAGTATGGAAAAGGAGGGATTCTTGGGGGTCGAGGAGGGAAATCAAACCCCTTCAGTTCTTTAGTGTGCAAAGAACTGGGAAAAGGAGTTGCACAAGCAACTAGAATAGAAAACCAATTGAGATTTTTAAATATCAAAAAATAGTTTCATAAAAAGGGAGCTGTTGGAGCACAAGTGTGAAGGAAGGCAGAGCATCAAAGCCAAAACCAAGCTAGACAGGGAGCAAACCACTGCTCACCTACATGACGGAAGTGGATACCCTGATAGAAAGAGGATCTTGTCTAGGGAAGCAAAAGCCCAAGGCCAGCAGATTCAGATGCCAGTCTCACGCAGAGATGACAGGGCAACTGGTGAACAGCACAAAGAGAACTGCAGTTCATGATTTTACAGAGACATTAGGGTAACCCAGAAGTCACTGAGCTGGGAAAGAAAAAGGACATATACAAAATAGGAACCTTTTCCCCAAAAGCCCTCTTCCAGGTCATTTTGAAACAGAAGTACTTACATCACAAATTTGTTCTTCAGTATGTGTTCCAATCTGTCCTTGATCAAAACAAGAGAAAATAAAAATGTAAAGCTACTCTTAAGGGTTTAGGGGCCCAGAGGAAACTCAGAAAAGCTACCTCCCTCTAAGTTTTCATTTGTAGGTCTGCACTGTGATCTAGGTATGCGTCAAAATCCACTCCTGGCCATTCAGTGATAAAAGAGTACTCAATTTCTGGAGCCCATGATTCAGAGGCTGCGAGATGACATGACAGCTACAGGTCTACCACCTACAGAAAGTTGTGTGTCCTCTCTGTGTTGGCCTGAACAATCACTTAAGCTCAGGCTGACTTTTAGCTCTTCACAGCTTGCTTTTAACAGTTAAAAATATATGTATGTATATAATTAAGCCTCCCTAGAGCCAAGAAATCCCAAAATGCCTAACAGGATTGCAGCTCTTTCCCATCACATTTATTACCTTCTGGGCAGGAGCTACGTATTTATGAAAAAGCTCAACATCACGGGGACATTTGGAGAGCACAGTGCTTGTTGCTGTCTTGAAAAGATCTTCCATAACCTAGTAGAGAAAATAGGAGTACATGAAAAATTAACACTGCTTAGATGTCCCAGACTATAAATAAAACACAGCGCACATCAGCCAAAGTGTACAGAAGGAGCTTCTGTCCTTCTGCATGGTCAGACTGCATAAGAGGGTACCAGCTTCCTACTTAGCAGGCTTGCTCAGTAGCTGAAGAGGACTGGAACTTTTGTTTCTGCGCGGGTTTAGGGCTTCTGATGGCCTCAGTATCTTCAGTCGGGTTTCTCCAGTGAAAAAAGCACAGCTAAAATATTCAGGCAGCAGCCTTGGTCAGCCACAAACACACACACGACCATCATTTGTGGTGACTGGTCTCAGATTACTTATTAGTGAGGTGCCTTTCCTGTAATGACCAGTTCTGGTTTTCTGCTTTCTTGTTACGAGAGGCAAAACTAAAGGAGAAGAGAATAAATGTGTTCTGTGTAGAGCCAGCCCATCAAAGAGATCCCAGCTAGAGAGACTGCGCAGTAAGAGCAAAGCACAGAGAACATGTACAGAGACAAGAAGAGAGCTAAAGCAGAGGGACACATCAATGCAGGGGTGTTTGAGAAACTAAAAAAAGATGTGGTTTCATTTCCCTAAACTAATGTGGATTTGCTAAATGACATTATAATCCAATTTGAATATACTTATCCAGTAAAATGGGCTTCACCCATGAAGAAATTAAAATGTCATTTTGGTTCTAAAAAAAAAAGCCCCCACGTGGGATGTCACTGCATTTTGATCAATTGTTTCAAGAGTACTTTCCTCTTTTGGTTAAGCAAAGCAGATCATCCAAGAGACTTGCTGTCACGCAGATTAAGAGTTCCCATGACTCCTCGAAGTCCCAAACCTGCAAAAAACAGGTACTTGATACCTGTGTAGTACTGATGATCCCAACTCTTCTTCAAAATCAGCTTCCTTAGTCTCATCTCCTTTGTAAGCAACAGAGTAATGCAGCTGGGCTGCACATCATCTCAGCCTGGGATGGCACCAGATTTTTTGAAACAAAAAGCACCTCTGAAAGTCCTGGCACATTCCTGTTTTTTCTAAGAGCATAACAACTGCTTCATGAACTGCAGAGTTGAGAGAAGCGAAGTATCCATATCTAGGTGAGTAGCTGTCCCTAGACACCACAACGCCCAGGTGAGACTAATGTGAAAAGATGAACCTGATGTTCAGTCAGCAGATCTGGGGAAGAAGCAGGTCTCTGCTTTGCAAGGAACCAGACCTTGCAGGGCAAGAGGAACAAAAGGCACAGGAAAGAAGAAGCTGAGCTACTGGCATAGCTAAGACAAGATTTCAGGCATGTTGTTTAAACTCTCATGTTTAGAAGATCCTTCATCAGCTGTCCCAAACCACTGAAATGCTGCTCTGTGCTAATGAACAACCTCTGCATCCCATAAGAAGGTGGCAAATCAGCCCATTTTGACTCCTCTGGAGCCAAACTCAGCCTTCAGACTCCTGTATCAATCTTATCCCTCGGTTTAAAAGGGAAGATCCAAATAAAGGAACAGCATTATTGTCTGCAGATGGACAGTTTTACCCCTACTGGTACTCAAACACAGAGGAACTGCAAAGCTGGCACTCCTGCTGCTGAGTGGCAAATAACCAAACAGTCAGCTTTGAACTTTCTTCAAAGTAGCTAGAAACAGGCTTATGCAAATGAAATTAGAAAACTTCTTGGCAATTCATCTGGTTTCACCAGGCAGAGACGAGGAGATTTTACATTAAGCTTCCTCTTTCTAGAAAATGAAAGTATCATCTGGTTTCAGAAAAGCATGTTGTTTAATTAGCCCTCTTTTCCCTCACTGTGCGATAAAGTAACAATTAGGTTCCCACAGCATTCAACATCAGCAGCTTCCTCTTGTGGAAAAAAAAGATGTGGGTGGTATGGGAAAAACAATCTGAGAAATATTTCCAGGTTTGAGAACTGAGGTTTTATCCTGGCAAAGCAGACAGACACATGGGTCATGTATTGGCCTCCTCACTGCTCTTATTTATGCCAAATGTGTACTAGGCATGAACAGTGGAGGGAAAACAAATAAAAGAGGAGGAAAAAAACAAAAAAGCTCTGCAACTCAGAAGTTATGGCTTTAAGCAGATGACACAACGAAGGACTAGAGAGTAGACAGTATGAAAAACGAGTGGAGAAGTATTGCCACCAGCTTGCTGGTTTGAGGGAACATGTGAGCTGGAGATACAGGCCAAATGGTTGGTTTGAACGTGTCCTGTAAGAAACATGTTTGATAGGAGAGTTATACAGGGAAAAAGCCATGGGAATCACAGGAAGTAGCTCATCTCAGAGGTGGGACTCTTGATGTCCTAGAGTCCATTAATTTGGTTGCTTCATAATGGAGATGCAGAAGTTTCCATCTGCATGCCCCATCCCTGGAAGTGTTCAAGGCCAGGTTGGATGAGGTTTTGGGCAACCTGGTGTAATGGAGTGTCCCTGACCATGGCAGGGGGGTTGGAACTGGATGATCTTTGAGGTCCCTTCCAACCCAAACCGTTCTATGATTCTAAGTTGTGCTGGCAGGAGGGCAGTCGAGGAGGACAGAGGTAAAAGTTTTCCCTTCTCCCTCATCTCTCCCAGCCTTTAGCTCCTGATTTTCACCTTTCAAAGAAGTTCAGCAGTATCAATCCTGGCCTTCCCCAACGTTGCTGTGGAACTGAACAGTTAACTCTCCAATTTTGATTAGGAGCAGCTCCCAACTGTATTGTTTAACTCTAACTTGGATCTTTTGATACTGCAACTTATCCTCTTCCCAAATAAAACTATGACCAGAGTCGAAACAGATTAAATCAGCAATAAACCAGCAGTAAATAGCAGCAGCAGCAACTGAAGGTGCTGTGCAGCACAAGAAGCATTCAAACCATCATCTTTATTACATAAGGCACTTTGAGAAAAATCACAAGAACTGTCAGTAGGATTTTTGTTTAGACATTCACGTGGGCCATGCATATGGATGCAGCGTAGATCACAGGGGATTCACATACGAAACATTCACCAAGTGGACCATTATTTCTTGCCTTCACGCTTGCTCACACACACAGGTGCGTGTGTGCACATATACATACAGACACAGAGGGGAGATTTGCATCTGATCTTGGTCATAAAGTCCCCTCTCTCAGCTACATAACCAAGAGCTCGGGACCCACCCTGGAGAGATGCTGTTGCTATGAAAAGAAAGAGACTCTTGTCTGTCAGATCACTGCTTCACCGGGCATCAAATCTGAAACAATAAGTGCTGATGAAAGTTAGGAAACAGGAAGAGCCTCAGCTATGGCAGCTGGGTCTACTTCAGAGAAGGAACCTACAGCTCTGCAGATGCCCCAATGCCCCTAAAGAGTGCTGCTCCAGACACTTGGAACAAACCTTTCCCATGTGATTACCAGTGTTTGTTCCCTTGAGACTGCGGTCCGATTTGCCCTACTGTCTTAGCCTTGGCACTGAAAACAGAAAGTACTCGGAGTGCAAACTATTCTGGAAATCAAACCACACTCACGTTTCAAATCTAAGGTCCTTGAAACCGGCATCCAAAATCAGTGCTACTGCTGATTTCATTTCATGCCTGAATTCCCTCCTGTAAAATGGAGGTAATAATGCTCCATGTCACTGGGCTGTAATGACAGCAAATTAATTTTGATGAAGTACATAACCAGTGGAAGACAATACTTCTGCCCTCAGGACGGAGCTCAAATACTGTGTGTTAAATTGTATTCTCCATCTTAAAGAGATGTATTCTCCATCTCTTAAAGAGACAGTGGTGCTAGGATGTGATCTTGTTAAGGAAGACTAACACTACGCACAAAATCCCAAAAATGCCCTTAGGAAAACTTCCTTCTGGCATTTCGTAACTTTACAGTCTAAATAATGGGTTTTTTTATCAGGGTTTTGTATATGTGTTTGATGAAAATCAGTAATGAATGCATCATATGGCTTCTTTGAGACTCCGTTACTGTCAGGGGTAAAGTGGGATTGTTTAAACCCACTGCACTGCCAAGACAGCGGAATGAAAAATAGAAGATAATGACCTACAAATATGGTCACATGGCACCACTGAAGGGAGAGGGTGGCAGCTGGCACCTCAGATGAGACTGGAGACCTTGGACCTCCAATTCAGGGACTGGAGGGGCAATGGCTCTAGTGAGTCCAGACACTTTCAAACAAATTGGACCCTTTCCACTGTCTTACCTGACCTTCTTCTAAGTCCCTCTTTTTCTCATCCAGTTTGGAGGAAGAGTGCCTTGGGGCATCCTGACTCAACTTCTTGATTAAACTCTTATGGAAAGAGGCCACAGAGGACCCTCCTTAGATACTCTTGCATACTAACAGTATATTAGATAGTAACACTATCACCCAGCCACGCAGCGCAGGGTACTGCACAGAGCACACAGGGCTTTCCACAAAAGTATTGTGAAACCAGTATTGTCAGAGTTTAAGCTTCTTTGTAGCACTAAAATACGTTTTGGGGCAGAACAGAAATTTAGACTGCATGATAAAGATGCATGAGACTTCACAAGAACTGTGCTACTAATTTAGGAGCATTACTTTGTGCAATTACAGAGGCGGTGGCGGGGAAAGGCTGTTGCTCTAAGATTTCAGGCCTTCTGCTTCCAAATATATGTAACTTTGTTATTAAATCTTCTTCTTCCTCTTATTTTGTAAGGAAAGCTACATTTCCTTTGGAGCTTTTGCAGAGAGAAAGATCTCAAGCTTCATCAGTGAATGGTAAACATGTACATCTTTGTAGCAAGGTTTTTTAATGGTGTGTAAGTAAATATTTCAAGATGTCCCTGAAGCAGCTGAGCACTCCCAGCACACTAACTTGCCAAAGTTAGAGGTATTCAGTCCAAATGTTAAACCAATTTTAAAAATAAATTTTAAACAATCCAGTTCTTTATGTGAGGACAAAGTTCAGATGCTAACCCTGGCCAACAGCCCCCAAGGTTTTCAACTAGGCGTTTTGCACCAAACAAAGAACTTGCAGATGACGACAAGCAGACAAATTGCCCGATGGGCAGATACATGAGAGGACATTGAATTTAGGTCAGTCATGTGGGAAAAAGAAACTTAACTTGGGCTTTAGAGCAGCTGTCAGTTTTTGTTTTGGTGGTGGTTTTTTTTTTTTTTTTTAAAGAGAGATTGCCTAAGGATTTAAAAATAAACAAAACAGGAACTCCACTTCTGCAGCTGAGAACATCACCCAAGTATGTTGCAATGTGGATTGGCTGAGGAATGTAAAATGATGACTGGTAGGAGACTTTCTGTTACCGGGAAAGACGTTTGTCAAAGACTTTGCGACAGAGGGAAGAAGCGAAAGAGAAGAGCACAAGCTGAGACTTCCCAAGATATTTAGCAATAACAAAAGCGAAGCCAAGGGGGGAAGTTCCTCCTTTCC